ATCTCGAGGCGTTTGCCTTGAAACGGAACAAGATTCGCTCGATTTTTCGAAGTCGATCGAGAAGAAATCGTTTTTGCCTCGCGAAACTTTTGCGAGAATAAGCGAATTGCGTCTTTACGTTGCATCGAAACACATTAGAAGCTCGATCGACACCTCGTTCTGTCTCGCTTGTGCGAGCGAATAAAATTTAAGTGGCCACTCGATATTTCGATGTCGAACGATATTCGCTCGCAATTTCGCGTTCTCTTCCCTGTTGGTCCTTTCCCTTTGGAGGGGGAAGATTCTCTCGAGAGAATATTCTCGCTTTCGGGAGTATTAATGAAAAAGGAGAGGGAAGGAAATAGGAGGTTGGACAATAACGAAACGGCGAAAGTCAATAAATCAGCCGGGCGGAATCGCGTGTGGTATTAAGTCGGTGATAATGCGGATTTGATTTGCTCGATCGACGACACGCTATTGTGCCTCGTGCATACGTGAAATACGCGACCGATTTCTATCGCGTGCGATAAAATACGGGCGGGTTGTTGTCGGCCGTGCTCGAAAATCCTTTCTGCCCGAGTTATGGAGATATCGAAGATCGGCGATTCGATGAATTTTCCAGCTCGCAGGTGTCGATCGAACGATCCTTTTGGATTTAGGCTCGATCCATCGCTAGTTTAAAGTTTAAAGATTATGCCGAATGTTAACGAAATTGCTAAAAGTATTCATTCATCCTGTCATTGAATCCTGTTATCGATCAATCGTGTAACGCGTCGTTGAGCCAGATTTTTCCTCGTCCAATTCTCTCGTGGATCTTTTTTCATTAACGCGCTAGGACGATGGCGAGAGTTGAACGACATCGAACGAAACGCGGAATTCCTCTTTTCACGGGGACAACATTTTCATTTCGTAAGCATAATTGCGGAATCTTGTCTCTGGAAACACCTCTCGCCAGATCCTTTCTCCCCCTCGCCTGAACCCACTAATGGGGGAAATTACAGCATCCGCGTGTAATCGATAACGAAGTGTCGAATGGAAGGCAGCCGCCAACTTCGATTATTCGATGTGTCCGACGATTCGAGCAAGATGATATTCATACCTGCGGCCAGCATTGCCAATTTCCGCAGTTTGTCGAACGATTGTACGACGAGTGTCGAGAATTGAATTTCGACAAGTTACGAATATGAGAACCGTTCGAACGATCGATCGATCCTCGCTTTTCGCGGGAGGGGGGAGGGGGGGATCTTGAATTTTGAACGATTAAGAAGCATTATTCGTAAGGAATTTTCAAAATTAGCACGCCAATGCACAGCGAGAGAAACCTTTCCATCGCGAGATTTCGGACGCAATCAAATCATTTTAGGATTCGCTTGCACCAGGAAGAATCTATTTTTGGAATTTTCCAAGATTTTAAAATTAACGATCCACGTGTAGCAAGAGGACTCGGGTTTTTCGAAATTAGCTATCGAAAGATATATAAAGGATCTTGGATCTTCGTTTTCGACGATACACTGTTGGCTCGAATCGCGCCCGATCGAACGAGAATGGCGCGCAATATTTTCACGAGATCGCTGCAACTTAGCAGCCGAGAGTTTTCTCCTCCGTCGTCGGCTATTTGTTTTCGAAACAAAACTCGGCCGGCCGCGAGGAGTCGCGAGGAGTTGAACGCCGCTACTCCATCCGGGCATTAATTCACCCTAATTGCTCTTCAAAATTTAATTTCGCATTCAGAGACTCAAAACAATCTCCTCGCGCGATTATTTCCCCGGAATGGAAGGTCGGGCGCCGACCTATTTGAAGAGGAACGGCCCGTTTCTCTAAAATCATCCGGGTCAATTGTTTGCACGGTTGAGCAAATATCTTTTAATACGTTATCGTTGTAACGTTGTTCCTCTCCTCCTCGTCGAAGAAATTTTCTGTTAATTCGTGTTACGTCTCGTTGCTGAAATTATCAACGAGCCCCCCCCCAACGAGTTCGTTCCAGTTATAGCCGTGTTTGCGGACGTAATCTAGGTCAGAGATTCTTCCGTGAAGCGAACCGCTCACTCAACGGACACCATAATTCAAAAATTATACCGTACACCTAAATCGTTATAATAAAATTTAAATTAAACCCATTTTTCAAATAGACGGGAGTTTGTCGACGTCAGAGTTTGGACTCGTGCAGAATTGACGATAGAAAGACGAGGAATTTTCAAGGAATTTTTATACAACGTCATCCGTCGAATTCGAATTATCAATACGCGATAAATATTATTATCCCCTTAAATTTTTCTCGCTTCGACAAATCAGGGGGAAAGAAACGAATCGAATTTCAACGAAGCCTTCGCGTCGTTGCGCGAAATATCAATCAACCCCACCCCCTTTCTATCCAATTCCTCCGTTTCTCTTCTCGATCATTCCACTTTTCGCCGATATTAACATTTTATTATCGCTCGCTCGCTTTTTATTACGGGACGGCCGTATACGTTGGATGGAATTCCTCCTTCTCCTCCCGGCTCAAAGCGCAATACGGAGTCGCACGTTTCTCGAGCTCCGCTGTGTATTGTCCGTCGTTTGCCCCATGGATTAGAGCAGACCACACTTGACCACCCTGTCGGGGCTGTTAGTATTATAACGCCTCCGAGAATCGGACGATTCCGCAATGTAAACGCGCATCCACTTGCCAGGAGGTGCGAGTGGAACACCTCCCCAAGTCGGGGGTATCGCGCGTGCTCCCTTTCACAATCGAGGAGGATCGAGGCTGAGAAAAATCCCGTCCCATTCGTGCGAACGAACGTACGAGGGACGTGGAAATTGCATATGAAAACACGGATCGTTCCTTGTACGATAACACGAATGGCCCGTGATATTTTTTTTAATTAGGGAATAACGTTTTCGTCTCTTTTCTCTTTTTCCTTCTCTTCTTCGCTCGAAAGGAAGAGGCATCGTGTGGCTGTCGTCAGGACGAGCTTTATCGATGTTGATCGAGAATGTCGTTGGCGCGCTTTAAATGCGTTTCCGAAACGAACCGGGGCCAGTCCTCTCGGGAAATAACCGCTTCTTTTTTCAGGCAATATTTTTCAAGGAAGCGCTAGACTCTCGTTTGAACGATGCGATGAGGCCGATTAATCCCTCGTCGTCGAGGGTCGCGCTGAGAGAATAGAAAGAAAGAAGAGGGGGGAAAGGAGATACTAGGGAAGAATTAAAAAAAAAAGGATGGATAATTCGAGGATTAATAAAGGATGCAGAGTTTTTTCATTTTCGTTATTGCAACCGGGGTTTGCGATACTGCACCGATTCCTTTCCGAATCTACGCGCGCATTATCGTTCCCCTTCTCTCTCTCAGCTCCCTGTTTTCTTTTTGTTCCGCGCCTCGTAACGCAACCCCTTTCGAAAACTCCCGTAACAGGCGTCTCTCCTCTTTATTCACCGCCATCAGAGAGACGCAGCTCTTAAGCATTCGTTTTCGTAGCTGACATGCTGGCTTGCTCGTCCCCTTCACTTCCCTTTCATTTGATCTCCATCCAGCCCCCCCCCCTCTCTCCCCAGGGCTCGCTGTTTGTTTGTCCGAGACGTTTTTCGTCTCGTTAGACGTCTCGTACCCCGATCCCTGTCTTTGAGGCCCTCCCCCGCGAACGGTTACGCGACTCTTACAAGATCGTGGAAAATAACCTCGTAAAAGTGAATTTCAGGAAGCGAGGAAAGTGGTAAAAAGCGAGGAATCATTGGATAATTTTAACGTTTCTAAAGGGAAACCTTTTTTTACGAATAAGTGAGTTAGTTCGAGTGAATTGAACGTAAGAAAAAAAAAGAAAAAGAGCTATACGAATAATTACGAATATTGTCAGAGAAATGAGAGAAGGAGAGTATTTCACATTGAACATAATTTTCAACGCGATCGAAATAACAAGCGGAGAGGAGCGACTAAGACGTTGAATGTATAAAAACCTCGAAACAACTGTGCAAAAAGACGCGTGAAACGGAAGGAGAGGAATCGCGTTGTTAATCGGTTATAAATAGAGGAGGATACTATCGAAAAAGAAGGAGAAGAAGAAGAAAAAAGGAAAAGACAATTGGAATTCCGCAAGGAGCTTTTTATCGATGGAGAGGGTTGGATCGGTTTCGTCTTAGTCAGCAGAGACAAAAAGCTTGGTTAATTCACGGGAATGGGAAACCGGTTGGACTAATTGAGAGCATTTTGGGGCCAATCGACAGGTCGATTATCGCGCGGTCCGCAACTCGAGATCGCGGCGACACGTACTAAGTGCACCTCGGGGTGTTTGGAAGGCGATCCGGCCGATTATTGGTCCGTCAGGAGGCGCACAAGCGTCGATCGGCTTAATGGACTCGCAAGAGGGACGATCCATCCCCTCGTATCTCGTTTATAAGAGCCACGACATCGTTCGCCGCTCCTCCATCCGCTAATCCCCTCCCTTTTTTTCTTCCTCTTCCGTTCCGTCCCGCGCCACTTTCGTTCTCGATAAAACGCTTGATCGCGCGGCCAACATACTTCTCTCCTTAAATGGGAACGAAAGCGAAAGTTGCTCGAGCGTGAAACTGACCGATATGATGCGATCATCTTCTTTCGTCGATTATTAACGAATTGGTTTATTAGAAGCATCGATGATGTTATAGATTCGAAAAAGGATTACACGTGGACACGCGATTGAGGCACGCGAGCAACCACGGATAACGGGGAGCCATAAGAAAAATTGCTCGATTTAAAACAGAGCAAGAAGATCGATCGCACGAAGAATCCATCGAAAGTTTTCCAAAGAAGAGTGTCGCCTTCTTATGCAACTTATGGCAAATTCAAAAACATATCGAAGAAGTGGTAGGACTCGACGAATTCCTCGACGAATTCCGTATCCGTTGATTATCCGAAATCCTAATTTTGCCGCGGAAGGAAAATTGGAATCGGGCGGCAAAAAGGTGGAGCTTCGTTAGGGACGCTGGGCTGCGGCAAAACAGATAATTAGGGGATGAGAGGGGGAATTTGAATCCGAGATCAGAAGAGTCGTCTATGCGTCTGTCGACGATGCGTTCCTCGGGTGCACGCCGATGGGATTCGAGGTGGCGCGCCAGAACCTCGTCCCGACCTATGAGCATGCGTTTATTAAATTGCTATCCTCTGGTGGGCTTGCCGACGCCCCCTGGTTACCCGCGACGTTGCCACGTTTAAATCTGAATTAACTGCTCGGGCGTGGTTCTCTCGGCTGCGTAACACGTCGTCTTTCCTCCTCGCAGGGAGGATCCTCCCGATCTTCGAGGGAGAGCCAACTCTCTTGGATCGTACGGAAGCAAAGGATCGTTGATTTCAAGTGATCGAGTCCTCGTTACGATTTATATATTAGGGTGAAGCGATGCGATCTTCTTACTTTGCTTTTCTCTCGTTCGTTGGAAGAATTTTCGTGATGATTTCTTTTTTTCGAAGAGTTCTTTCGAATATGTTTAAGTTTAATTTTTACAAACGCGGGGAAATTTTAACGCGGAACGTTAGGACGGAAGAGGGGTCGATGGAGAATTATAATATAATCGCGTACGTGGGAGTAGAATTTGAGGTGGAAAGGTGATTCGAGAAGCTGTTTGCACGGGGTAGGCTAATTTCGATGTGTACATATTTGTAGAAGCGGAACGGTTCGGGACGACGGAGTGGTACTCGACACCTCGCACCGTCTCCTCGAATATTCCTGGCAAAGTGCGGCCTTGTTCGCCGATTTCGATACCTTTCGATGGGCGGTCAGATTTCCCGAGGAGAGACTTCGATCCGAGTTTTCTTTCCTGATCGATCATCGCGCCTCGAAATTTTCTTGTTAAGCAGAGATAGAGAGAGAGAGAGATATTGAGATTTTCATCATCCTCCCCCAAGCTTTTCAATTCTGACCTTTCATAAATCCGATTTTATTTCCGCTCGTTTAAGCGCTCGTCCAACGAAAGCATCGAAAACGTAATTTCTCCCTTCGAAACGAAAATGTTTTAATTTCCAAGCGGATTTACGACACCCTCGATTTCGGCCTCGATTCTCGAAGATTCGCGATTTTCCTTTACAAATTTTCCCATAATTTTCGTGCCTCGCCCTCCGAGATACGAGCGACCGGCCTCGTAAGATTTTTCATCGTGAAAGGACCGACCACCCCTCGTTCCGGTAACCGCAGTTTTCCCCAGCTCGGGGTGGAAACTTAATTAGGCCCTCGAAATAACACTCGGTCAGCACCCCGCTGTAATCGCGGCAGCTGACCTTTTTCCATCCCGTCCTCGTAATCCTCGTGCTCGCCATTCCCTTCACGATCCAAGAAGAAATGCGAATCGGGGGGAGGGGAGAAAATACAAAATTCACCGGTGGCCGGGAACCGTGGCCACTATATTAAGGCCACGAAATTTACGACTCACATAGCCGTTCAACCTCCGTGGTGGTCGCGATCGGTCGGCCCAATGGACACACGGAAACGAGTCCCGTGGAAAATACAGACACTTGGAATAGAAAACAGGTGCCGCCCTTTTTTTATTGCTGGCTTATTGACATATTGCTCGACTCGTGTTAGCTTAGGTTAGTTAAGGCTTGTCGGTTATTGCTCGCCACTTTTCCGTACGAGCAAACGTTTGCGGACGTCAAACGGATCAATCCTTTGGCGGCCAAAATTAAACCCCCTCCGGAGGCTTTCATCATTGAGAGGGAGGGGGGGGGGAGGAACCGATCAACTGTTTTCTCCCTCAATTATGGACGCTTTTTTAGAAATCTCGATCGACCCGTCTTTCGTTTCTCCCTGAGAGAAATTTCTTTTTTACTTATTAGATTTTAAAGCAGATTCTTTACGTACTCTGCACTCTTTTTCTTTATCAATTTGAATTTTACTCCTTTTTTGCTCCTATTTTAGCTCTCTTCTCTCTCTCTCTCTCGAGAGAGAGTCTTGTTCGCAAATCCAAAACCTCGAAATCCCTCGTCCCGGATGAAAAATCGGGAGATGCGAGTTACGCCCTTACGACCCCGTCCGAGTTTCCCCGATTACGTTCAAGCGAGAAAGAGAGAGAGAGAGAGAGAAAGAGAGAGAGAGTCTCGGCTATGATGTACTTTTTCATCATTCGAAAGTGCGGTTTAGCGCGCGGTAAATATTTCTAACGCGGCACTATATATATATATATATAGCCGTTGTAAGACAACTCTCTCTTCTCTTTCTATCCCCCTGTCTTTCCCCCCTCCCCATCCTCGATTTCTTTTCAAAGGATAGCGGCGCCACGGAAACTTTTCTCATTCGAAAGGCGAAGTTGAATTGCGATTGCGTGTTTACCTTTTTCCCAGGGTCGAACTTTAATTAAGTGGCCGGTTCTCATGATTTATCGTTTGTAGCCGTTCGAGGGGCTTCCGCCAACCAGATTTATCGGCGCGTTATTTTCGCAAGATACTTACCACGAGGTAAGGTTAGGCCTAGCCTATTCCCCCCGCGTACCGATACCCTCGGACGGAATCAATCTACTTACGCGCCCTCCCCCCTTTCTCCATCGCACATTCTAATCCTCTTTTCCCGGATGCTTGGTTGTCCGTTCCGTAGTTGGCCGACACACGCTTTACGACAGACCTTAAACAAATATCTATCCCCCTATTTATCCCTTATTCGAACGTTCGGATCGTTTATTCTTTTTTCCCCCGTATTTCTCTCCTCTTATTCATGGACACGAAGCTCAGAAACACACACACACACACGCGTCCCCCTCCCCTCCTGTTTATCTCCACGCGTCGTTTATCGCGAATATAAATTAGATTTTGGCGAGAATAGTTGGCGAGCAGCGGTTCTCCGTCGCGGTTGAAAGATTTCGATACGAAAGGTTTCCGCGCTGCGAGAAATCTGGCCGCGGGATAATACGACGGCTGCGGTGTCGTATCCGTTCCGTTTAAAAAAACTTTTACGATGTTTGTACTCCGTGCCACGCTCCTCTCCAACCCCTCCCTCTTCCCACCCATTTTTATCGCGACGCGTTTTTATGCCGCGGCAGAGGAGAGATCAAAGTTTTCGTTTCCCGGGGACGAAATTTTGTAGTACTCTAGTCAACGCAGATGACAGAAAGGGCTTTGAACGCGACCGTTTTTTACCGGTCGCTTCAGAGGATCTCTCAGTGTTTTACTTTCTGCGCTTTTCATCCTTCACTGTTTTACTTCCTTCCTTTTTTTCATCCCCACGTCGACCGACCCCTTCCTCTTCCACGCGATGTTTACAGGGGGCGCGCGTCTACTCGTGCACGGGGAGGGTATATACCGCTTAATAAAATTCGCGAATGAAAACGTTTCTTTTTTACATCGATGTTAAAACAAATAACTCGAGGTCTGATTTTTAGAAAATCTTTCTTCCTAGGCGTGTGCTTCGTTCGAGGATGATTTTTTCGCGATTCCTTCGCGACCCGGTCCCGATCTTCAGTGAATATCTCTTAGCTCGACGACGATCAATCCTTTAATCTTCTCAATCTTCAATCGGGAATACCATGCAATCGCATAATATAAAGTGAGAAATATTCTTCGAAGGAGTAAGCGATCTTTCGAAACGAGTTCATTTCACGAAAATTTAAATCATCTTTACATCCTTCTTTTTTCTTATCGATATTTCCAAATTTTCTTGGAAGCGCAATGTTTCCTTCTCTACATATTTTCGATATTTGATAAAGAAACCTTTCGATCGAAACGGAAAAAGATCCCGGTTAATATTTTTGATCGATGGTTTTTGACCGTACGTTCATTGCTCTTTTCAATATTTGATCGATCTCGTTTCCCGACGAGAAGCAACGAAAGAAGGGGCAAAGTTTGGCCGCGTTAATGGCACCGATCGGACGGTGGACGGCCGATAAGAAAGAGCCGCGTTACGGCTTATCTTATCCCGTCTTCCCTTGATTTTATCGCGCGGGGTCGGTCGTTCCTGGATCGCTTCGGTTCCCCGAAACGCAGGCATAAAAGTAGTCTCGAACGAGGTCCCAGAAGGAGATCGTCTGTCGGGTTCGGTTGGCAACCTAACGACACAAGGGTGGCTCTTACTTTTTCGTTTGCTTCCTGCCATATTGCCACTCAAAAAGGCATCGTCGTCCTCCTCCTCCTCCTTCATGGGCGTCGCCCTTTGGATTCGCTCGATTCCTTAATGCGACCAGTCACTCTCTCCCCTTCCTTCCGCTTCTTCCTCCTCGCCCCTCTCTCATACGTTTCATAGGGGAACGAAAAATCGGGGAAGAGAATCGACGGATAGGATATTGGAGGAAGAAGGGACAACGTTTTGGAAGACGCACACTCGCCGATCTACATTCGAGACCCATCATCCCTCTTCCTCCCGCCGGAGGAGCCTTCCTTCCTTCGAGGATATTAGTCGATAAATTTTCGACGAGGAGCGGCGTCCACCGATAATGTCGTCGTCGATAATTTAAAGAAAAAAAAAAAAAAGAGAAAAAAAGCGATCGAACAGCTTCATCCGTTCGGATCGACGTCCCATCCTTCTCGTTACTCCTCGATGGCCGAACTGTTGTTGGTGTTACTCGATCACCCGCATTTTTCTACAGAAGGAGAGGGGAAGGAAGAGAAGGAGGAGTTTATCTGGGCAAATTTCGTCGCCCATCACCTCGATCGAACCTCGTATTCGAACAAAATTAAAAAAGATCAACCGTGAAGCGAGAGACGGCACGATTCTTCACCGACGATTTAATTCACCGGAATCTTTTCTCTCTGAGGTTCTTCTTCTTCTTTTTTTTTTTTTCTCTCTCTCCCCTTTATATTTCGGTATCGAAGCGACGTCGGAGATTCATCTTTGAGCGGCGGAGGGATTATCGGGTCGGCGAGGAGAGGCACGTTCTTCAGGGGCGGGCAAATTCTGTAAGAAGTTAATCCACCATCTTCGTTTAATAATAATAAGCGCGCTTCCGGGGCACTGAATTCGCAAAGCGTTCCTCCAGCTCGAGAGTTTCTCCGGGGAGAAGGAGGGGAGAGGAGGAGGAGAAGCGAGAGACAAAGAGGGGTGGAAAAAGAGACGGGAAGAAGGGGAGGGTGGCTCGTATAAATTGTAGCCACCTCCACCCTCCCACCTCCACCTCCCGACGCCGTTATCGAATCTGCAATTAAAAAGTTCCGCAACTAATTTCAATTTAATCGTACGCCGTTCGCGCCGGCCATTCTACACCCTCTTCCTCCGCTTCCGCCCGCTTTTCGCGCTCCCCCCCTCCTCTCCCCCCCCTCTCTCGTTTCCGCGCTCGAAAAAGGCGTATCAGTTTAGAAATTTGTCCCGTGCTTAGTTTCCAAACTATTTCCCCCACCGCTCCACGACTCCTTTTGTTTTCCTTTCTCGGTCGCTCGCTCGCTCGCTCGCTCGACTTTCGCCCGTTTATTTTTGTTTTGCTTCAGTCCTCGACTTGTTCCCCCGTTGAACGGATCGTGCTCGGTGCGATGTAAGAAATACGCGTGGTGAAATACACGGCGATTAAAGAAATAAAATACGTCGCATCGGATTTATCGCGCGTGGACAACGAGAAACGGCGATATCTTTTTTCTTTTTTCGGCGAAGAAAAAGAGGAATCGTGGCATCGACGCCTGTTATCTTGTATATCTTCCATTAGAAACGAAGAGAGCGCGAGGAATAATTGGTCGATTTCAAATATCCAACGTGAATTTCTCGTGAATTAATCGTATCAAACCGTCGGTTATTAAAAATAATCATTAGAAGAAAGAAAAAAACGTCACGAGGAGTGTGGACAAACGGGACGAGCACTGCACGAGCACTACCGATCGTTAATCGAATCGATCTCGATTCAGACGAGGATAGGCGAAAAGGATATGGAGAAAAGGAAAAGATGGACGGGGATAAGGGAGTGGTGGACATCTTGGAGGGATCCGGTGGATTTCCGTGTGTATTCCGAGGGGAAAGTGGTGGGTATCGACGCTTCGTGCCGTGAACGCATTTCACAGCTTAAGAGAAGATTAGCCAACCCTCTCGTAACGATAGGATTTGACCATTGAGGGGAGATTACCGGCGCTGGCCGAGCCATTCGGCGCGGATCCAGCTTTAAGCGTGTTACACAATTACGTTCTGCCAGTGTCTGGAACCGCACGGTCGAGTTAGTAAAGGCCCAGATATCTGGCTCAACGTATTACCGTTAATAAGATGGAGAGAGAGAGAGAGAGTGAAAGAGAGAGAAAGAGGGAGGAGGCTGCGTTCTCCCTCCTCGCTCCGTCCGTCTCGTAAATAATCCGATGGATCTAATTGCGATTCCTCGGGGAGATGTCCCGGGAGAGGTGGAACAGACGCGATATTTATGTAGTATTAATTATTTGATTAGCGCCACTTACCGGCGCGCTCGAGGTATGATAATACCACAGGTACTTCCTTGATTACTTTGCTAATGGCGAGATCCGAAAAACCGAAGCGGAAATTGAAATTAATTTTGGGATTATTATTGTTGTCGCGGGGAATTGTTAAATCGCGTTAAAATTTCTCGACTACGTTTTCTTTGTTACGTTCGAATGGCGAGGATTTCTTCATCCTAAGGGGTGAAAGAAATTATCGCGTGGAGAATTTTTTTGGAGAATTCGCTTTAAAGAACGGTGAAATAGTCGGAATTAAATTTTTTGAAATCGTAGGAGAGAGGTTTCGAATCGTGATAAGCGCGAAAGTCGTTCGAACGATGAACGAAGACGAAGAAACGAATTGCAACGGAAAATTTAGTTAAAAAATAGCGAAATAGTCGAGTCGAAATGAATTTTCGGATTATGGAGGAGTCGGAATCGTTTGATTAGTATTAAAATTTCTTTGTTGTTCGAATAGCGAGAACGAAAGATGAACAAACTAAAACGATAAAATAATCGAAATTTTGAAATCGTAAGAGAGAATCATCGAATCGTGATAAGCGCGAAAGTCGTTCGAACGATGAACGAAGACGAAGAAACGAATTGCAAAACAGCGAGATATCGAGTCGAATTCGAGATGAATTTTCGAATTATAGGGAAGTTAGAAGATTAGTGTTAAAATTTCTGGATTACGTTTCTTTGTCATTGAGATGGCGAGGATGAACGATGGAAGGATGGAGGAAGGCGGGAAAAAAAAGCGAGCGGAAGTTTTCGAGAATCTATATGAAACGCGGGCGGGGGACGCAAAAAGTGAATGGAGAATGGAAAGGAAAGAAGAAGAAGATAGTTTCGCGGGGCCGAGTTATATATTCGGGAGAGGTCCCACTTAGCTATTTGTCAGGCTGATGCGAATCTTGGCGGAACTTCTGCGAAAGCTCGGTGAAAATTTCGTAAAAAGTTCCCTCCCTTATACATAGATAACGAACTAGAAACTACTCTCGTCTCTAATTTCTCTCGATAAATTTGTACGAATCGTCCACGAAATATTTCATCGACAGATCGATCGCTTTCTTTCGTAAAAATGATGCCGGGTATTAGAAAATTTTACAAAATTGCACGGTACGCGAAAAGGCAGCGCTGGGAAACTGGTACTTTTATTTTTTTCGCAACACGATCTATTTTACGTGGCAAGAACAAGAACACTCTGCGGCGTGTTTTTCTGCTGAATTTGATTAGGAAAAAGATGAAAGGCGCGAAGAAAAAATGCGAACGAACGAATAAAGAATTATATCGTAAAACGAATCGAATCGAAGCGGAACTACATTTGCTGATTTCTTTTTATCGCAACCATACGTTATTGATCGAGAAAAGAGGAAAAATTATAGAAAACACGAGTAAAAAATACACCGAATCCCTCTTAAAAAAAAAGAAAAAGGAAACAAAAAGCATCCAATTTCACTTTCGAATCGGGCATCGAATCTTCGAGATTCCAGAGCCAGACGTAGATTTGCATTATTTTCGTGTTGACTGATCGTAAAGCAAGGTCTCGAGGCCCATCCATCATGGATCGGGTGGCTCGATCGACGTTAAAAAGATAAGGCGACGGGCGAGCCGGCGCAGCCACGTATAATCCCGTCGGAGGAATCAATCGGCCGATAGCGGCACGTACACGGTAAATCGCGTGCCACCGAATGATTAGGTTAGATCAAGTTGGATCGACGGGGGCGCGGTGGATAGAAAGAGGGTGGGAAGGAGGAGACAGACGGGTCTCGAAATTGGCGAACCGACCGACAGCTTATCCACTTTATCCGGCTGGTATTACGAAGCCAACGTGCGATCCGATGTACCACCGGAGAGAGAGAGAGAGAGAGAGAGAGAGAGAGAGATGGAGAATATCTACCGATCCATTCCATTCCCACTCGCTTTCGATCAACAAATTTCGCCACCTCCCCCCTCCCCCCCTCTTATTTATCCAACACCCAGCATCGCGAAACATCTTTCAACTTTGTCTTCGCCGCCGTTCGATATATGCTCTCCCTCGAGCAGCGAAGGGAAAGGCTGCCCTCGTGTTCCGTTGGCTCGATTGATTAATTCCACTCGTACGGATATTAATTATGACGCGAATTAATCGAATTTCGTTTCTTTCTTTCTTTCTTTCGCGAAGACGAGAGAGATCGTTGCTCGAATCTTTCGGTTGTTTGGGTCGCGAGTTCCGTTCCATTCCGTGTGATTGATCGTCCAGGGGTGGAGGGTAGGTTTAACGGAAAGTAGGGAAAGTAGCGCGAACAAGGGAGAATCGTATTGGCGAGCAGGAAGGAGGAGGCGCCGTTTAAAGTTGGGTTGCGTTCTCGAGTGGAAATTCAGCGTGTTGCAAAAAGTTGACTGCAGACTTGGCTGCGCTCTGGCACGTGAGCACGACAAGCTGTGCGCACGGGAAAGGAGGAGAGGGAGAGGGAGCGGGGTGGGAAAGAAGAAAGGCGGCCGACTAGCAAGTTTGCAAGATCAACTAAAGTACCCTGACGGGAAAGTCGGGAATACGAAGCGTCGCGACAAAAAATAAAATAAACGGGGCTTATCCCGAACTCAGGCGGGTGTAAATTACGGGAAGAGACCGACCCTACGTCGCTTGGATCGGGGAAAAATGCGGTCACTCCACTTCCCTTCTATTTTCGCGCGTGCACGTCGCATTATGGCCCGGTGATATCCGCTTGAATTACGGCTCGCAGACTCGCCGCTACGAACCGTGTTTAGAACTTCTTTTCTTTTTTTAAATTCTTGCCTGCCCACCTGTTCTCGTTCGCGCGATAAACTCTCCCTCCTTCCATACTTCTTTGGGAACGAGACACGCGTTCCAAATCTCATTCTCGGCTTCTATCCCGCGAACGGAGTCGCGCGCCACTCCTTTCCTCGTTCCTTCCCCTGCGACGTACTTTGTGAAAAATCCCATAACAAACAATTCTCTCCTCTCTCTTCGAGAGCAATTAATTCCAAAAGCAGGCCGTGCGACTCGTCGAGTCGACATTTTATCGTGATATTTAACCCGAGGATGCATCTTAGTAATCACTCTGTTATTAAAATATCACGGCAATATAGACAATTCAATATTCAACAAATTTTCTTTCCCTATATATGAAACCATTTAACTTTAAACTAAATTCGTCGAACGGGAAATCGTGTGGAGTGCAAATGGTTAATCTTCGCGACACCGATCGCGACGATAAAATCGATAATATTCCGCGCTTTATGAAACATATACACGCAGAACAAGTCTCTCTCCCGCTCGAGAATAAAGAATGCTCGAATATCTAATTTCTGAAAACAGTCCTCATCGAATCGATTAATCTCTGACAGATCGATACACACTCACCGCGATATAATAAACTCGGCGATATTCCGGGCGACTGCAATTTTCAAATGCGGATCCAATTTCCGAGGTGGCTGCTAAAATCGCGCTGGTACATGCCCTCCCTGTGTGTGTGTATATCGCGCAAAAACTATCGAGATATCCACCATCACCCCTTTCCGATCTCGCCATCGGGGAAACTTGCTGCTCCTCGGTGTACAACCCACCGATTTCGCAACGAAGGTTGAAAAATTGGATCGAACTCCGTGGCAGATACGGAGACGTGCGGTGACCGGGATAGGATATTGGATCCGGATTACATATTAGCCGGAGTCGTTTCGAGGAGCAAGAATTTTTCTCTTGGAAACTTTTCGCGAATCTGGCTGGATACAATTTCTCTCTCTCTCTCTCTCTCTCTCTCTCTCTCTCTCTCGTCGTCGTGTGT